AAACGTTCATTTGAAAAGTCTCTATACGTACCCAGTAACTTACTCGAGAGCCGCCTTAGCCATTGCCAAATCGTATCCGCCTCCTCTTGCTTTCGAGTAACGTTACGCGACGTCGGCGATTTTGAAGCGACAATTCGTCGCAGTTGCTCCATCTTGATCGCCCTTATTTACCTGTGACAATAGTAAAAAAAATGATAATAGAAGTTATAAATAAACATTTCCTGCTACTAGTTATTTAATAGTGAGCTTAAAATTTGTAAATTTTTTATGGGCGTTTTAAGTTTATTAGTTCCAAATATTAGACTAAATCTCATCAAAATTTTAACCTTCTGGGTTTTTTGAGGCGACCTTTCTATTAGCCAAATAGGGATTCGATTAACTGTTCATACTGAGTACGTATTCTTATGTCATGGGTAGAAATTCGTCTTATTGGTTGATGCAAATCAATTGTTCAGATAACTTTATTTATACATTTTAAAGTACTTTTTGAGAACATAAAATTACACAACCAAAAATCGCCAGAAACATTATTTCTATCTTCAAAAGAGTACTAGAAAGTTTCCTCTAAAATTAATCTTTTATAATCTTATATTCAGAAAAGCTATCTTAAATACAACTTTACGCAAGGTAAAAAAAAAAAAAAAAAAAAACTACGTCTGAATTTTAAAATGCACAAAAACAAAAGTAGTTATTGACAAAACGTTTGTCTCTTTTTTTTAACAAGATTTAGTCTATGAAACCGCCTTCTGCGCACTAATAAAAAATTTTCTTTGCAAAATTTTTTATAAGAAACATTTCAATCCCTAATTTAATAACAAATTACAGACCTTAATCTAATACCGTAAATTTTTACATTGAAAAAATTTTTGATGCCGAACGGTAACCCTGGCTTTGTTCACAGAATTATGACCTCATAATCATATGGGTGTGATCTTATTAAACAGCCCATTTTTACATTTTTATATGCATTATTATTTGTAGATCATTATTTAAAATCGATTTATTCAAAATTGTTTATCGTTATATGTAAAAATGGGCTGTTTTAATAGATCACATCCCATATGAAACTCACCGGATTTATGTCTTCATACAAAATCATTAAACCTAACGCCAATGACTCTTGTAATTATGATCAGGAGATCTTCACAGGTTTGACTAAGTGTTCCGTAAATTGGTATCCGAATAGAAACCGTAGGATACATCCGTTTGCAGAACACATTTAAATAACACATTACATCAAGGATGTGTCAAATTATACATATGATGTTCTATATTTACTGAACCAATTTTGAATCCATCATTTTTATTTGCGAATACATCAGAAATTACACATCATAAGTTCTATACGCATTATGTTCCAGACGTCATACTTAAGTGATATCCCTGCTTTATTAATAACGTGGCTATAAATAGATTATGATAATACGATATTCTAAATTAATAAATGGTACGAAGGGAAGTCTATTTAAACAGGAAAAAGGGCAAAATTGATTTATGAAGGTAATACTGAATATATAAACCTAATAATATAATAATTAGTTAGAGTCTTATAGTTAGTATAAAAGAAGAATTCTTTCTTGTACTAGTTAGTTTAGAAGGATGTCTTTGTGTATTGAAGTTAATTACAGGTTTTGTATTTAATGCTTGCGGCACTGAGTTAAATCTAGTTGGAAGATGTAAAAGCTCACCCTTGCCGTAACAGTAGCAGACTCTAATTATAAAATGTTGTAATGATCGTCAAAGTATAATATATTATCTAAATAAAAGCCAAACTATTATAAAATTAATATTAAATTTTACATCATTTTTCGTAACAGTACACATTATTCGAATGCATGCGTGATCATAATAATCTTGAATGAAGCTATCTCAATAAAAATAGTATATATAAAAAATTTTATCAATGACTGAACAGCAGAGACCGTCAATGTTACACATATATTAAAACTGGTAAGGGATAATATTCATCATAATTTAATCCAACATAAATAATTTAATTTGCGATTGATCACAGGCGAGAGGGATTCACTTTGAATCGGGCACTGTCTCTGTTATACAATGAAAACTTATTTCCCTGACATATCATTTACTCAGCATCACATAGGTGACAATTTGACAATTTACTATCATCTCAAAACTTTTCTGTGGTCAAACAAGCTGTTGTCATTTGTTTCTTTATTTTTAACAAATCATTTTTTTTACTGCACTTCTTAATAATATATACCTGCAGCTAATGAAATGCCAAATTATCACCCTTTGTGATGTCGAGTAAACAGCATGTCGAAGAACAGTTTTCGAGGGAATGAGCATATGCCATCTTGAGTTATTAAAGAACTATTAAATGTCTCAATTACAGTGAGTCTACCAATAACATGACTATCAATCAATTATAGATGGCAATTTTAATCTTAAATGATAGTAGCGATACTAATTAGAATAACTAAGACTAATGTTAGTGGTTATATTCTACCCTCATTATAACAGACCCCGTTAAAGATTTCTTACTATTACAGAGTAATTCTTCAGAATATGATAAATTATTATAAAATATTATAACGGATATTAATTATAACGAATGAAATTTCCCAGCCTGATAATTCCGTATAACAAGAGTAGAGGATAATATGCATTATTAGTATCGACAGTCATATCGAAAAACGTTAAATCTCGTTTTTACTACCACACAATATCACATTATTATTGTTTTATTTTTATTATATTCCTTGCATAATTAAATTGTTATTATGCAAAAGGGTGAAATCAACAATTTTTAGGCTACATTTTTGATGCAGATCTAAATTTAGATATGCGTTAACAACGTATTATTATTACATCGGTATCCATATTACTTATTTTTACCTGTGCATTTTATTTTTGTCATGCTCAACCTTATATAGTTATATCTTCTTAATTGTTGCAGGCAAATCATAGATTAAATGCGATTTCAGAATTATAACGCGTATCGTGCTCATTACGCGTTGAGATCTGTATAGATCAAAATTATAACCAATATATAAATTATAATTACTAAACATATTTATAACAAAGTTACGTTAAAATATTTTATATTAAAATTCTGCATTAAATGAAAATTTTTTTTTGAAAAATACATCCCGAGTTTTATTTTAGACACAATTTAAAAATAAAGAATTTAATTTAGAAAAAGGTTTGAAAAACTAAAATATTCTGCTCGCCCTGAAGCATTTTTCGTGCAAATACGGTAAATTTTTCAACACAACTTTTAAATATTGTTTAAGAGTAATTTTATGTTTTAAAATAAAAAGACATTTGTCATTTACATCTAATTTAAATAAACTATTACAAACATTATATATATGTTAATCTATAAAGATGTTGGAAATAAGTTATATTGTTAGGTACTAAAGAAAAATCGTTATCAAGAGTAAAATAATAGTATAGATGTCATAGAAATTATTGCAGCATCTCCAAAAACATTTCGACATTGATTTTAAAATAAAGTTTCCAAAAATAATTTGTCAATTTAGTACTATCGAAATATTTTCAGCAAATTTGCTGTAGTCATTGTGTATAAGGGAAGATAAGGACGCTAGTGATTAAAGGTTCAATGACAGGAGGAGGCTTCCCTTATCGCAAAATTATTTATATATATAAAAAAAAAAAACTTGTATATAAAGACCTTGCGTCTTATTCTCAATGAAATTTATTCAGAATTTTTCAACAAATTTATTTCAAATTAATTCTCTATTAAAACAAAAAAACAATAAAATACGAAGTTGGCAATTTAAAATCAAAGGTATCTTATATTCTCAAATTTTCAAAACTTCTAGCATTGTTCCTTCGTATATTGAATACATCCATTTATTCATCCTAATTTTACTATTCTGAGTTAAACTCAGTACTTTCTTATTTATAACACTGTAACAATATCACTTCCTAGTGCATGTTATGCATGTTATGCATGGTATGCATGATAAACTTTATAACATACCAAATATGAATGAACTGCTTTAATTTCTTTCTTGATAACGAAATCATCCGTTGTCCAGTTACAGAGATTCAAGTTACGTAGATTATCGTACGATTAACTAAAATGCAAACTTGTTATAATTTGGATAAATCTAACAATTATAAAATCGACTTCAATGTAGAAGTTATCCTAACGGTATTGAATATAAAAATTCAAAATATTTAAAAAATAATTACATAAACTTTACGGAAAACCCTTCAAAGCATTATTTTCTACGATTATTATTATTATTATTATTATTTTATTATAAGCATAATTTTTTTTTAAACAAAAGAAATGCCGCCGTTGAATAGATCTAAAAGTTTCGAAGAAGAGTATGTAAACGAATATTTTTTGAAGCAAAGAGTAGTCGGTGATCCTGCTCCAATAGGTAAATTATTTTCTTTCCTTTCTTGAACTCTCAGTTATTGAAACTAATTAAATGTTTTTCAAATTAATTAGGACTTTTTGCATTTGGAACGACACAGCTCATTTATTCTTTGTATCTTATTCAAATAGCCAATGTTACTAATGAACAAGTTGGGCTCGGTTCTGCTTTATTTTATGGTGGCCTTATTCAAGTAATTTCTGGAATGTTTTTATTATATTCTGGTAAAACACTTGGTGCTACTATTTTTTGTTCCTACGGTATTTTGAAAATTATATTTATATTATCATTATTCAAAGATTTATTAGATTCGGTTTAATATATTCTCTTCTTTGTAGGTGGTTTCTGGATCTCTTTCGGATTTGTTCACCTTCCAAGTTCTGGAATCATTGACTCATTTAAAGATGATCAATTGATGTTTAGAAATGCCATTGGAATTTATCTTGCCGTATGGGCTATTTGTTAGTATTCTTTGATTCTATAATTCTATAGTATTATGTCTTTTTTTACTAATTAGCCTAATTTTTTTCAATTTTAATTTATAGTTTCATTTTTAATGATAATTGCCTCCTTAAGGACTACTGTTTTAGAAATTTTATGTTTAACTTGTGTATTTATAGTTTTTATCTTTCTTGTTATCGCTAGTTTTACCGGTTTAACTGTTTGTTATCGTATTGGTGGATGTTTTGGTGGTAAGAATTTTAAATTAATTATCATTGAATTTTGTATTGTTTTTTTTTTTATAAAAGTAATTCTTTTTTTTTTTACTTTTAAAGTGATAGGAACAATTTGTGCATGGTATATAGGAATGGCTCATTTGCTTACTAAAGATGTTTCATATTTCATATTACCACTTTTCCCGATAAACCATCCCCCGATAGCCGACTCAGAATCATCAAGAAATGTTTAGATTATATTATTATAAAGTTAGATTTATGTTATATCTTCATTTTTTAGCAGTATATAGATTTTATTTGACTTTTACCCAATATATTAATTTATAAAACATAAAATGTCCAAGATATATCAATATTTTATAGAATAATACTATTTGTCATAAATTATTGTATTAATTATAAAAAATATAATAGTAGGTGGAGCACTACTGGCACTCTGCTTTTTAATGTAATTCTTTTCAGATTACATTAAATTACAACATTCAAATTTAAAGATTTTTGATTTCTAACAACAATTATTTAAATTGTTTAATTTATCAATGTTAGTTTTGTTGACAACTATATTAGTATTTAAAAAACGTGAATTTTTCTAATCACTTAACCATTAATTCAACCAGCATTAAAATAATTATGATCCATGACCAACATAATTTGGCTTTGGAACTATGAAATAACTTTTAATTAAATAATTCCAATCCTCAAGCGTGAATGACTTATTTTAAATAATTCAATTGATGCTGAACTGATATGAAAAAATAAAAAAATTAGTGAGATAATTTAAAAACTAAATATTTTTTTTAATTTATACTCGAAGGTAATTTGAATATTAAATTACTTATATTCGAAAACTATATCTTGAAGAAAGCATTTTTATAGCTTAGTTTGTGTTAAACAATGAAATTGAAAAAGTTTAGTGTAAATTATATATTGGGTACAATCCTAATTTTTGTAAATCCCTGTATATATTACTCTGGTTCTTATAGCACTTTGCAATAAAGTGTGACATCTGCAGATCACGATGTCATGCGAAATTGCAAAAAATCAGCGATTTTAGCAGATTTTTCGATTCTCCGACAATTTTAAAGATTTTAAACAATATACAATTGTTTATTGAAATATATAATTAATTTAAAATCTAAATCTCCGAAATTTCCAACTACCATCATCACAAAAATCACAGTGTCACACTATATTGCAAAGCGCCATAATGCAATAAAGCGAACGTTGCAAACGTAAATCGCGATTCAGTCGCTCCACAATCGGATTCGTCGTGTAACCACTTGGGATGGTGAATATCCGTGTCGAATGAGGCGTGTTAGATTTGGCAAATGGTTAATATGGTGTTTACTAGAGAAGGAGGTTTCGGGTTTGTTATTGAACGAATGTATTAAGTACTAGTTTATTTTGCAAAGGGAGGGAGTTATGCTTCCCGAAGGGCCTTCAGGTCTTTATTTATAATTACAAAACCTTATTTACATCTTGCGATTGATACGACTGATATTGCTGATGCGTCCTACCAAAATACTAGAGATGGGTTTCATGCGCATTTTATCCCATCAAGATTTCTCTCCTCTCGATCGTTTTTTCTTTTTTTTGCCTTTTTTTTATCATGCGATATCATGCGCATGAAACATTTCGTGCGCATTAATGCGCATGTTATTATAAAATGCGCATTTTCCCCATCGCTACAAAATACTCTTCTGACCGATCGTCACATCCGTCAGATGCGACTGATCGGTCGCATGCGATGGATGCGATCGACCTTTTCCCTAATTTAGTAATGGACCCCAAACAGCCAGGGTCTATTCATCTTCCCCAGTATCGCCGTCAAAATTTTCACTTTCACGTGACCGCGTTTAAAAATCTTTAAATTCGTTTAAGTCATGGTTAGCGTTTATAATAGGGCTAGGTTTTAGAAGAGTAACAGTAAATCACTTGAGGAATTTTTTTTATTAGAGCTCAAAAGGTGTTTTCTTATGCAAGTTTTTGAGGAATAAGCGATTTTTGAAAAGCGAACGTTTTGTTTTGATCTTCCTGATCGTGTAACGTTACATTAAAACGAAACACGCAATTGGATGATCATCACGTGAAAGTGAAAATTTGACGGCGATCCTGGGGTAGTCGGGTCCACAACGTACATACTTTAGGATTTACCTATTTCTGGAATGGCATCTCCCACATCTCCCATGTGAAATTTTTTTTATGCTCGTTAATAGTAAAATCTATAAAGGAAAACTTTTTGTTAATACTCAAAAGGTGATTTCTTTGACGATTTTTGACAAAACATTTGTTTTTGAATTTTGACACCTGATCGTGCTATGTTACACAAAGTGTAATTTGCTATTGGTCAATTTTGCGTCGATCATCACATGGATAGCGGGAGATACATCTTTCGCGTTCTTGAAATGATAAAAATTATGCCCAAATATAAATATATGGTTTGTTATTATTTTCGCCAATAGCACGTGTAATTAGACTGGCATTAAGGTTAGAGTTGGGTTCAGTAAGATATGTTATATAGTAAAATTTGAAAGCTTTTTATACGTAGAATGTAAAAAGGTGATCTCCTAGACAATTTTGGTTTCGTCTGACGCAACTTTGAGATTGACACAACTACTGACGATTAACGAAACTCTTGACAAAATTAATTTCTAATAAACTATAAATATGCAGTTAACTCTCTTTTTACAAGCTTCGTTATACTGACCTTTGGATATTTTGAATGTTAATTTATTTTAAAATTACTGTATTTCATCACAAAAATTCATCGATTCATATGAAAACATAAGTTTTTAATTGACAACAAACCTTGTTTATATTATATCGTCGGTTAACGCGAAATTAATATACCATACAAAAAGATTAATTTTTATCTTTACATTACATTAAATCTGATAATTCATTAGACCTATTGGAACATTCGGTTGATTGAACAGATCATCAGGAAATATCGGAGAAATGCCAAAAAATACTAACCGGGTAGATATAATATATGCACTAAATAAATGCAAATAAAATAGAATTAAATAATAGGATAAAGACTTTTTTAGATGCTTAAATAAATAAATGTACATTATATTATGCATTAATTTGACATTAATAATTAAAATTAAATATTAAATTTAATGGATTACTTTAAATTCTCAAATTAATAAAAGCTTTCTAAACTTATGCATTATATCATACTGAATTATTAAGAAATAACACTTAGAGTATTATTTTGGGACAAAATTTTAAACTAAGTTAATAATTAGTTTTGATGAAGATTTTTTAAACTTTAATATTTATTTAATACTATCTTAATGAGTTTTATGATTAGATTAATTTAGTATAAAAAATTAGATATATAAAATATAATATACTATCACAATATGTTTTTCTTTTAATAATAATTATAGATGTATATGTAATCTGAATATTATTTAAGATTAGATTTGTAAGCAATTTTTTGTATTATGTATATAACATCAATAACAATGTTTTATATTAATATAATAAATAAACATTATCGTAATAATGAAATGTATAATAAAAAGCTTTATTAAATTGCTGATTACTAACACAAAAAGTTTTGCAATTAAATTTTCTACAAAATAGATTTTTATTGCGTTTAATAAAGTTATTAGATTTTTTTTAAAAAAAATCAAACCTTTGCTCAGTAATGTTTAAAGCTAAACAATAATAAACAAAAATGTTTGACCTTGCAAAAATATTAATAAATAAAACTTTGAATTAAACTTAAATGAAAACTGTTTATAATAAGAAAAGAGAAATTAATCCGATTTATATAAATAATAATGAGAGTACTTTGTCAGGTGAAAGAGAATGTGAAAAAGAGAATGAAACTAAAAAATTACAAAAAAGAAAGAGTCTAGAGGCTAGTGTTAAAAATCCTATTGTAAAACATTAGAAGGGTTGACTAAAAAAAAACAATAAGTTCTTAGTAGTATTAAGAATTATTACCAATTAACAATAAATCCAAAGCTAGAAATATTATTTATACGTATTGTCATGAAACTTATGATAATATTGGATGATGTAAAAAACTTCGTGAAAATGATACTGAAAAATAATTAAAATATAGTTCGATTGATTTGGTGTAATAATATTGTTTGTAAGCTTTGTAAACTCATCATAACTATATATTTGCATAACATATTTTACTTGAATTTTATTAACACATTGTACGTATTATAGTACTTGAGTACAAGTCACTCATTACAGTGAATTGATCAGTTCTATTAGTAAATTTTTTTAAAAAATTCATTATATCGAGTTTAATTAATGGGTTCACTATTCAAAAGAATATTATATAAATTGCTTTAGTCTAACTTCACTATTTCGAGGGTTTTACTAAAGAGAGTGACTGTTTATAGTAAATCAAGCTATTCAATATCGCTTAAGAATTTAAATTTTGTAAATACGTCTGGACCAGTTCACAAAATTCTAATTACAGTTGTGATAGAAAAAAATATAATAAAGTCATATCTTCCTTTTTTAAACAGTGTCGTGATATATATTTTATTGCAAAAAAAGTGGTGCACAAAATGCAGGGTTCAGCATATAGTAGATTAATAATATATTTATTAAATGAATAATAAAGGCCAATTATATTAAATATATAATTATATAGTTATTATATAATAAACATATTTAACAAAAAACTAAGATTTCTGTAAAATTTCTAGCTATAAGTATTAGATTTTTTCTATGTTAGTAATCAAGTTATGGGAACTTTGTGTATTAGTTTCTCCCATAGTATAAGATAGTTGCAAAAATTGGTTCGGAAAAAAGATAACCATTTGGATATTTGGTCCCGCCTAATAATTAAAACGTAATATATATTAAAGTGCTATAAATGAAGGAACGATAATGTTTAATATTATTTTTAACTACTTTACTTACAATCTGACTTCGGTGGTGGTACTCCGCCATCGGTAGCTGTAAGAATGAGATAGGTGATATTTGAAAATGCTCCAACTCCTGCGGTACTCTGTTTAATTTTGATACAAATGTTAATCGAATGATTGAAGCATTTATATAATAAAATTATAATAATTACTATAACAGAAACAAGCTCGGACGGATAATTTTTCGTTGGATCAGACGATGGTGCGTCGTTAATAACAGTTACGATCATTGATGAAGTATCATGTTCTGGAATAGCTGATAGAACGTGATATTGATCATCTAAATTGTTATGAAAATGAAGAATACTGATTAAAATCCAATGTCAAAATTCTCTATTCAATGTTATTTATTATTTTCAATGAAAATTCAAAGTTTTAATCAAAATTTTTCATTGATGTTCAATCACTCAAATAAAAATCATGCAATACAAATTTAATTCCGTTCAAAATTATAATTTGGCCAGAATTTGGTCGCTAACTAGTTCAAAATATTAAAAAAAAAAAATTCATTATTTAGTTATTACATACTTCTTACATCTAATACAGCCGCAGGTGAAACAGGGAAACCGGAGATATCATCTTTGCTGTTAAAATATACTGAGCGAAATTGGTCTAATAATCATATAACATTATAAGCATTACAAGTAGTTATGTATCAAGATAAGTATCAAAATAAGCGAATATGTACTTACCCTCAATCCATTTATCACTACTACTAGTATCACATATGTACCAGACAAATCCGGCAAGAGATAACTGAAATTTAAAAACATTTCCAGCCGGAATAGTAAAGTTGGCTGGAATTTTGATATTCTGTGGATACTCTTAATTTGCAATAACAAAAGAATTTAAAATTATTGGTATAATAAAATGAGTTCAAATGGTGCCAGATCATCAATAGAATTTACCAGTATTTCCAATTGATGTGGGTGCTTTAGCTGGCATTACAACGGTAAATAAACAACTTATGCTGAGCAAAAGAACAATTAAGGACGAAGACAAGTCTAGTTTAATCATCCTTAAAATAATTTAATTTGATGTAACTTCGTATATCAATTTATACGAATTGATGAAAGAAAATGAATATTATTCATAGGAAATATTTAATAGAAGAAAGTTTGAGGGTTGATGACTTAGCATTCGATTATTTACCTTTAATACAAGGGCAAGTCTTTTAAAGTCAAAATATTCTCTGACAACTTCAAGAATCAATAACCTCGGGAATTTATCGTTTATATACGTATTTTTTACCTCCTTGCCGAATTGACATGGGACGCATTATACTCATGTTTCCATGCATACATGTATAGCTTCAGGCATTCAATGTTGCACTTACTCTAAATTATTCCTTTATTTGGATGTCAAAATCAAATAAGATTTGACCTACAACTGTTGTACGATTTTGATAAGACCAAGTCGATCTTGAAACTTAATTGGTCAACAACTGTATAATATCCAAATATTTATTTAAAAGTTTCCATTTTCTAACACTCAATTAAGATCTAATTTAGGAATTTAATTTCAAGCATTGTTGACCGGGAATTTTCCAAATATTTACTTTTAATATAAATTTCTTTAAAAAAACAAAGTAATTGAATATTTAAGATCTTAATGTTATTCAAATTGTCTCATTAAGGCAATTCAAATGATATTAAAAAAATAATTGTTAATTTACATGCAATCTCCACAGATGCATACCTCTAAAAAGCCACCCCAAATGCATGTCTTTGTTTGGATGCAACTAATATTATACTTATAGAATTTTACCTCCTAATGCAATACCTCTCTAAATGCACTCACATTATAATGCATTTTGAGAGGTCTAGCCTGTATTATTTGTTTATTTCCTTGAAGAGTTTAAAATCAGAAGAGTTTTTGATTCTATAATCATCTGGAATCTCTATTATAAATTTTAAGTTCCCAAGAAATAAATATAGTCAGGTCCTTCTAAGTGTAACCCCTAAACGCAATCTCCATAAATTCACTTCCTATAAGAGTCTCTCAAAATACGTGTGTTTGCTTGGGCCCAACTAATATTGAATTTATACCTTTTACCCCTGAATGAATAATAGGTTCCGGCTCGTTTCACCAAAAATCAATTCATTGACATTCAACATCAGCATCGAGGGGATTTCCAAACCTCTCAGTTTTTACAATATTATTTATACAATTTATTGGTTTTTTTTTCATTCGTATTTTAGTTTTCTATTTGTGCAGGTTTGTAATGAATTTTATAACGAACTTTTTAACAAATTTTTTGTAACAAACTTTTTATAATGAACATTTTAAGGCGAACTTTCTTGTAACAGATTTTTAAACAATTTATTATATGTATTAGTGTAGAACCAGATTTTTAAAGCAATTTATTATACATATTGGTGTATAAGCAGTAAATTAATATATAGAGAACTTTTATGAATTTTATTATAAGTATTGTCAGCTCATCATAAAGTCGTTTGTAATTCTATTCGTGTCTATACAAAAAAAAACAATAACATGAACTTTTTTATGTAGATAATATGATTAAAATATTAAATAAATCCAAATCTTAAAAAAACCGATATAATTATAGCTTTTTTTCTGGGCATGATATTCCTTTTATCCGCCACCTACCTTTGGAAATATATTATAGTAACATTCAAAATTTAGATGTATTTTTATTGTTTATTATAATTTGGCATTCAAGAACACAAAAAATTAGTTATTTAATAGGGAAAGTCTACGGACACGTACGAGTCACGTGAAATCGCACATACCCTAAACTAAGACTAGGTCTCAGGCCCGGGCGTTGCTCCGGGAATAGACCTTAATTAATCTAGGTCTCAGGCCCAGGCGTTGCCCCAGGAATAAATCTTAACTAATTTAAATCTTAAAAAAATTTCAAATATAGATATATTTAATTTAACCCAATTTGCACTTAATATTTTAATTCATATTGGTTTAAATAGATCAAAATTAGGTTT